ATGATCACAGAGACATATTTAACATGTTTTGTTTGGAATAAATCCACACATAATGATAATTATATCACAAGATTATTTGAGATGAATGGCATATACACAAAAGCAATACTCAAAAATTAAGGGATTGTCTCCTAGCTTGTGATGTTGCTATTAAGTGCCATCGAGTCAGTTACAATTCATAGTGACCCTGTACAGGGCTTCCAGGGAGTGACTGGTGGGTTCAAACCACCAACCTTGGGTTTAGCAGTCCAGTACTTAACCAACAGAATCACACAACTCCTTCCTACCTTATATTTATTGTTGTTAAGTGCCGTTGAATCAGTTCTGACTCATAGTGACCCTGTATAGGGTTTCTGAGGAGAGACTGGTGGGTTTGAACTGCCTGCCTGATGGAGTTCTGATGTGGCGCTGTGGGATAAAGCACTGGATTGCAAGGTCAGTTTGAACCACAAGGTTGGTGGTTCAAACTCACCAGCAGCTCTTTGAGAACCCTATACAGGATCACTTTGAGTCAGAACCGGCTTGATGACACTTAACAACAACAACCTGTGGTTAGCAGTCCAGTGTTATCCTACATCGCCACACCAGCCCTTAAAAATCAAAACTGTTAAGTCAATTTTGACTCTATGTTTATCAGAGTAGACCTGTGCTCCATAGGCTTTTTAATGACTGATATTTTAGAAATAAACCATCAGGCCATTTTTCTGAGGTATGTGGGCTTGAGCCTCAAACCTTTCAGATAGCAGCTGTCAGTGCTAACCATTTGCTTCACCATTTGTTGTTGTTTTTGTTATGTTCCATGAAGTTGGTTCACACGTATAGCCAGCCTGTATAGGGTTTCCGAGGCTGTAAATCTTTGTGTGGGCAGAAAGCCTCATCTTTCTCCCACAGAGTGACCGGTTAGCTCAAACCATCAACCTTTTGGTACACAGCCTAGTAGTTATCCTATGGAGCCACCATGTTCCCTCTGCTCCATTCCTTAGAGTCCAGTTATTTACCTTCTCTGTGATGTTGTTGCTCTGATGACGGCATTTTTTTCTGTTATGTTTTGGATGGTGAGTAAATAAACATTGAGGATAGGAAAAAGCTATGCAAACATGTTTATAAATGTTAATAAAATTATATTGCCTTCGTTTTTAATAGAAAGACTGATCTCATACTACTGAGGATGACTTGTAAACAGAATGGAGAAAATTGAAAATTGTACTGACATTGGATTTTTAAATGTCTGGTTGTCTTTCTTTTTAATGCAGTTTAATAAATGTACATGGCTGTACATTCAGCAAACATGCAAGTTTTTCTTTCCAACTGTTTTGGTAAAGGTACAAATACCCTCTGTTAAAAAAATATATATACTGTAAGTTCCATGAGGTATCCACTTAGTCCCTGGTACTTCTTTTCTCTGAAATATCAGGAATTGGCTGCAAAAGCAAACATTATTGGCTTGGTAAGTACTCCGTTAGGCCAAGCATTGTAGGGAGTGCCAGCTAGCAAGGTGGAGTACACTGAATGCCGACAGAACCTCAGAAAATTAAAAATCAGTGTCCTGAATGATGTTTTTTAAGGCTACCTCTTTCTCAAGAGAATTGGCTTGTGAAGGTCATGGCCTATCTGCTCATAATCCTAAAACTGAAGTAAGGAAAGGGAGAGATTTTTATCAATGACACTGAAAATGACAAAATAAAGTAACACAAGGTTAATTTCAATTAACACAGAAGCATAATATAGTTCATTGAAGAGATAGTGAAAGTATTGGATTTGGAGTATCTGCATTCTTCTAGGTATAAAAGTGTATCATTATTATCAACTTTGAATTGTTGTGAACAACTCAAGATAGTCATTGTAACATATAGCTTGGTCCTTGTATAATGGCTTTCTGTAAGAGTATCTATGATTTCTTTGTCAGAAAGACCTAAGTTTCTTATTATTATTGGGTTGCAGAGTGGGCAAACTAGATAAGTTTGTATTTCAGTTTTTAAAAATTCAATTAACAGGTCAAAATGCTAAAACCAATTAAATTTCTATTAGAATTCTTACCCTTAGAAGCAGATTATTGGATCTAATATCATACTATCACTTTAGATGGCTGAGACAAGTATTAGTTGCTTTCAAGTTTTTGGCAGGCCTTTATGCATCATTTTGGTTATTGTGCCAGCTTTTTCCATTGCTTTGCTCATTAATTTAGGGTTTGTTCAAAGTTTATGTAATTGTTTGGATTATCAAAAAGTCAAAGACTGGGAAAAGGTACAAGTATGTTGAATGTAGGTTTTCCTAAACCTGAAATTTTCCAGATTTGAGTATAATAAGCTGAAATCTGGTATAATCATTAATACAAAACCATGTGTTTATGTACTATCTATGTATTTGTTGTTGTTAAGTGCCATCAAGTTAGTTCTGACTCACAGCGACCTTGCATTGGGCTTCTGAGGAGCAGCTGGTGAGCCTGAACTGTTGACCTTGTGGTTCAAACAAATCCTGCAGTCCAGTGCATTAACCCACAGCGCCACACCAGGACTCCTATCTATGTATACATGTAGAATTTTTATCTACTTGTATATGTAGATTCACATCACCTGGTCTTTTCTTCTCAGATCTACTGCTGGTTTTGAATTTCCAACCTTTAGGTTAGCAGTGGGCTCAAGCATGGCAACAATTGTGAGGTTGGCCCAGGACCAGGCAGTGTTTCGTTCTGTCGTGCATAGGGTCGCTATGAGTCGGTACTGACCCTATGGCACCTAACACAACAACAAGGTTAGCAGTGGGGTACTTAACCATTGCACCCCCAGGGCTCCTTATATGCATATGGTTTTCTAGGTGAGTTTATAAAGCCATTCAATTAATATATGTATATAATTGTTATATAAAAGTAAAAGTTTTTCCCTTTTCTCTGTAAAGTTTTTTTTATCTGATTTCCCACCCTCCAGAGGCCAGTGTTGCTCTCTGAAGATGGGTCTTTGTTGCAGACCGTGTAAGCTTGGTCAGAGGTTTGAGGCCCTATAGGCCCAAGTGTAACAAATGAGGCCACTGGCAGTCAATAGCAAATTGTTTTTCATCTTAGTGTTCAGTTATATTTATTAATTGCAGACAAGAAGCCCTTGATATACACAGATAAATGTAATATTTTCCTAAAAGCCCAGACTGTAAAAGTTGCAAGGTCAAGCCTTTCTCCAAAGGATTAACTAAAAATATCTTAGCTACTTCACAATTCTTTGTTCTATAGACAAAGAACCCATCCTCCCTAATCCCTTTTCCAGGTGCAGCCCATTCACCTGGGTGTCTCGAGTCCTCCTGAAAACCTGGCTCAGGAAGCCGAAGCAGCAGGACTCTACCCAAGCCTTTTGTCCTTACCTCTCACCTTCCCCCAGCTGAGCTCAGGGGCTATAGATATGTTAATTGAGCCTGAGAAACCAAGTTGCGGGCCTGGGATTCGAACCAGCGAAGTATGATGTAAAGTTACCTGAATGTCTGGAAAAGTACTGATGTTAGCTGTACCTTGCCTAAGTACCTCCCAGCTTGGTGTGAATCTTCTCCCCTAAATAAAACAGAGGCCCGGGCCTCCCCAGGTGTGCATTACAGGTTGGAGGGCATGCAGTAAAGATTGCAGTGCATTACAAGATGGAGGGCATGCAGTAAAGATTGCAGGGCAGTGAGTTGCTGCCTGCAGAGGCCACGATGCCTGTACTCCCAAGTCTGCCCACCAGTGATGTATCCACCCTGGCTTTGGGGTGCCTCCTTGTCCCCCTCCTTCTGTCTGTCTGTGTATTCTTTTGCTATCTCTACCGTCGCCAGGTATCTCCTCCTCATGAACCGAACCCCTATGTGGAGGCCAGTCCCTGACAGGTTTTGAACATGTACCTTAAATAATGTGATCCAACTATTTGAAAGCAAGTTACTTAGCTACTTATTTTTCTGACAAATAGTTGAATTGAAATAAAGAGTTTACTTGCCTACAAGAGAGATACAGAAATCAATATATTCTACATTCTTATTTTTCATTATTAATTGTTTTGAGAATGTTATTCATATGCAAGATAATGCTTCAATATAGTTTTTTGGCATTATATGTTGTTGCTGTTACACGTCAAGTCAGCTCTAACTCATAGTGATCATATATAAAATAATACAACACTGCCCTATCCTGCACCATCTTCTCAATTGTTTCTATGCCCCATTCATTGTTGCAGCCACTGTGTCGATTCATCTTGTTAAGGCATTATATACCATTAGTTATTTTCTCTAAGATAAACTGTTTTTCATGCCTTAGAAATAACTAATCACTAGAAAATTTCATTTTTATTTAAGGAGTTAATTATATTTCTGTGAATAAAAAGATGAACAAAACTCCTTCTTCATGAAGAGATTACCCTGGGTTAACCTTGAAGCACTATTGTACTGTTGTTATTGTTGTTAAGTGCTGTCAAGTTGATTCCAACTCATAGCAATGCTGTAAAGGGCTTCTGAGGAGTGGCTAGCGGGTTTGAACCACCAACCTTGTGGTTTGCAGTCCAGCTTCTCCAGCAGTGCCACACCAGGACCCTAGTGAAAGTAAAAAGGGTCATCTATCTCTGGACTGGGAGGAATGTGGATGGACTGGAAGCCATATCTTTGGGCTTTTCTGAGTGGAATCTGACTCTTGTAACCCACTTTGTGAAGACCCCTGAAAGCTAAGTTCATGCAATGTTTAAAGTCTAACCCACTGTGGTTTCTGTGCCATCTGTGTGTTCTCACTGCCTACCACTTGACCTGTTTCTTGAGGTCTGATGAATGAATAGTTTCTGAACTTCTACTGAAGAGACGTGCTTGATCCTGTCTTACGGACAGGCTGTGCTCCTGTTTTATATTCTGCAGAGCTAGTCTGGGGCATACTGTGGCCTACTGAATCTTGCTAGTTTCTGTTAGCTCACTGTTGCTGGTTGATCTGAATGAACATGGTGTGATCACAAATGTTTAATATGAAAAGTATAATAATAATAACAACTAATTCTTCCTTTATTTTTCAGAAATGTGTAACAGACGAATGTTTCTTTTTTGAACGACTGGAATCTAATAACTACAATACTTACCGCTCAAGGAAATACACCAGTTGGTATGTGGCACTGAAACGAACGGGGCAGTACAAACTTGGACCCAAAACAGGACCTGGACAGAAAGCTATACTTTTTCTTCCAATGTCTGCTAAAAGCTGATCTTATGGCAGCACCTAATCTCATTTCACACGAAAGAAGAGTGTATTTTAGAAATTTGTTAATGAGAGAAAAAGAAATGTGTACCATCATCTGCTCAGTTGGAGAAACCAGTTAGATTACCTTTTATCTACCATTAGAATATACAGCCATTGCCTGAGTAAACAAAAACAACAACAAAAATTCTTGGAAAACATACAGACTTTCTTTCAGATTGCATTTTCCTTTGTCTTGTGAACCTTACTTACTTATAGCCACAATCTTTTTCATGTATTTACTTTATTTGAAATGGGGCTTTTAAAAAAAAAATGTGTATATTTATAAACAATTTTTCTTCATAAAAACCATGCACATTAGAAAATTAAAGTCAAATATTTAATCATTCAAAATGTCCACTACTTCTTATAATACTGCACACATGAATCAAAATATAAATTACTTTAAAACTATTTAAATATGCAAATGTGAATTTAGTACATTCCTGCCATAGTTTTGTAATTCTCTGGCAGTTCTTTGTGATAGAGTTTATAGAACAGGCCTGTGTAAACTGCTGGAAATTCTTCCCTGGTCAGATCAATTTTGTCAAATCCTTCTCTGGACCCATACAGCAGCAGTCTAGCAACTCTGCTGGTGATGGGAGTTGTATTTTCAGCCCTGACCAAGTCAATAAGATCCATCCACTCACACCTTATGCATTCATGTTGACAAAAATTGATGGTGAATGAACACGGCTTTAGGCGGCAGATGATATACATGTCTGATTTCCCGAAAGCTCCTGGATTGATATGCTGCTGCCGAATACTCAGGAGGGATCTGAATTCTGATTTGATACCAGTCTCTTCAAAAACTTCTCGAACTGCTGTATCTCCTACATGAAAGAAAGATGTACAAATCAACAAGAAGCATATTTCTAGAAACGTCATCATCAAAGATTTCCAGTTAAAGTTACATTATCTAAATGTTTGAAAGTAAAACTCCACTCTAAGACAGTGAAGTTTGTAGCACAAATTCTTTGCCTTCTGGGCATCCTGAAATGGTGTATACTACCAAAATATTTTCTTACCACTGTATATCTAGAAAGTTTTTAAAATGCTGAATATTTATTTGGCTGCTACTTACAGGTTTATCCACCTGTGCAGTTTTTGTGTCCCATCTTTCTAACCTCATCTGTCTTTCACTACTTCCCAAACAGATACTTCAAAAGTTAAAATTCATGTTACAGCTCTGCAGTTGATATTTCTGCATATTACTTAATGGCTTGGCTGTAAACCAGAATGTCACTGGTTTGAATCCACTAGCCATTCAATGAGAGAAAGATATGGTAGTCTGCTTTCATAAAGATTTTAGCCTCAGAAACCCTACAGGCCAGCTCTACTCTGCCCTGTATATATGGGGTCACCTGATTTGGAATAGATTCAACTTGAACAGGCTTGGTTTATCCTGTTCCTGATCATCTATCAAAACTTCCTAAGCTTGTACATATCAGCACTGAGAATAAGAGATCCATTTTTCCTTATCATAAAATCTGTTAAGCTGCAAAATATATTGAATTTTGTAATGCCTCTGATTTCTCCTGGCAAACTTGTGTGGGACTGTCAAGCCCCATAAGGCATTGAGCAGATTCCTTCATAAGCATCTTGAAGAGAAGTGACTGCCCTGTAGTTATGCTGTCAGTGGACTCACACTAGTGATGGGCATTTCCTTTGTTTTTTGAGATAAGATTTCAAAGAACTTTAATTTTACTCCTGCAACACCAAAATGCTGCAGTTACTTCCCTGGAAGTTTTCAAAGAACTTGCAACATACAAACTTTTATAATGTAATAAATGTTTTCATATTTCTTCAATTATAGGCATATTTCTGAGACAGTGTTTTTATTTCCATTTAAGGCATTTTTGAGGTTGCTTTTTCTAAATGTCCATATGAACTCCCTAACTGGGCTTGCCTTAATTTTGTGATGCTCTGTCATTGTCTTTCAAAACATTTATGAGTTTTATTTACAGTCTTCTCTGCCCACTTTGCTGGGAAGTGTCACAATTACCCCAGGCAAAGTTTTCCTTCAAATGTTATTTATGCCCCCATTATTTTTATTTGTCAAATATGGTTGTTGTTAAGTACCATGGAGTCAGTTCCAACTCACAGCAACCTTGTATATGGTTTCTGAGGAGCGACTGGTGAATTTGAACTGCCAATTTTTCAGTTTAAACCAACCTTACAGTCTAGTGCACTATCCCACAGTGCCACACCAGTAGTTTTGGTAAAGAATAGGCAGGGAAGCAGAAACTGAGGAAAAATGTCTCAATTCTCATGTGCTGTCCTGTAGATTATTTTAGAAGTTCCCTCGGTAAACTCTTGTTTTTTTTTGTTTAAGGAACTGCTCTGGAAAGATACATGGAAGAGTAAAATGTTCTGGAGTATAAAGCATTTATCTGCCCATTTTGGATTCCATGTCCACTTCCCTTATAATTGGGACTTTTAAACTGAAAAAATAAATGAGACTGTAGGTTAAAAAAAGAGGAATCTTCCTTAATAAGAAAAAGAATTTTGAATTTGGCATACAGCACATAAAAGGGGACTTCAGAAAAAAACTTTTTGAAGTTCTCTCATATTTGCTATTAAATTTGTTATTAAAGATTGTGGTACAAGTGTTAATATCTATATAACGTTAGTGCCGTCAAGTGGGTTCTGACTCATAGCAACCCTGTATAGGGCTTCCTAGGAGCAACTGGTGAGCTTGAACTGCCGACCTTGCATTTCAAATTGACTTTGCAGTCCATTGCATTAACCCACAGCACCTAATTAAGAGTTAGCATTACCTCATGACTCTCAGCCTTTGATGTCATAAAAGGAAGCACAGAATGGGACTAATGAATGAATTTGCCCCTGTTCAGCAATCACCATAGCAGTTGATTCAAAAGCTGTAGTTCTGAATAGTTTAACTTGAAACAACATTATCACCAACTTGACTGAAAACTGAATGAGCAAATTTTTATCCAATGTGTGAGAGATCCTTTGCACTACAAGGTGGAAATCTCTTCCCCAAGGATTTGCACATGAACTTAAACTTTTTATCAAGATTTGTTGTTGTTTAGTGCCTTCAGATAAAAGTGCTTTGTTTTGTTGTACCTGTTATTTTAATACACTGTAAGCTGAACTAAAGGAACCGTGGTAGCAGTAGATTACTGGCTGGGCTGCTAATTGTAAGGCTAGCAGTTTGAATCTACCAGTCACTCTATGGGAGAAAGATGAGACTTTCTGCTCCTGTACAGATTTACAGCCTTGGAAACCCTATACAGGTTTGCTGTGAGTCAGAAGCTATTCAGTGACACACAACCACCACCAAACTGAAATGAAGTAACATTTACTGTTTTATAGCTATGAAGAACATATGCAAAACCAAGAGGCTTTTGTTTTCATTTTTGTTGATTAAGAGATATGTTTAAATACGTCATAGTGTTTTGTTTGGGTAAAGAATAATAGTGAAATGGAGTTAATATTTGTTATTTGTATTTCATAATATTTCATTATAGGACTAAGGTGAAAACAAAATAATAGGAAACGTTTTAAGAAATGTAGGGTTTCCTGGTATTTTCCTCTGATTCTTCTGCAGCTGTGATCTCTGACTAGACTATGACCAAATGCAGGTGATTTTCTTCCTGTCAGTAGCAACTTGTCCATTTTTAACATTGACTCTTTAGATCTTCTTTGCATCCCTAGGGTATTATACTTAAGCTTTGAGAACTGCTTTCATTTTGTATGTGACCTTCCTAATTTTCTTTTCTTAATAATAATGCTTCATTTACCTAAAATTATCAAAGAATGACAATTTTCAAACAAATGTACTTTCCAGGTAACTAGTGTTTACTAAAGAGCCAATATGAATGTTTAGCCTTTTGCGATGACAGCATTCCTAATGTATATTATATAACTTTCCTAAATACAGGGCTTACAGAAAATAATTTAAATAATTCATGGATGATTTCGCTTTACCATTAAGAATGTTTATTATAATACTGTGTTATAAAACAAGAATATCTTCATCTAGACATAGTCTTTTAGACTTCTATGAGTACTGTCAGTTACTACTTTTAGCTGCTTTTAGGGTTTTATGAATTCTAAGGTGAAGCTTTAATTTATACTACTAGGAAACACAGCAAATACCAGTTGCTGCTCAGATACCTTTGGTTTTTCTTTTTCTTAATGCCACATGGTTCAGACATATGTTTAATCTGTAGATATCTCTAGATAGGACTGTTGTGACAACCACACAAACTTAAAAAATAGTACTGAATTCTTAATTACTTGGATTTAAAGAGAGGTACTGGATTATACTTCAACCTAAAATGATATATATTTGAATTGGAAATAGATTTTTTCAATTAGATTTAACTATATTTGCACTCAGAGGATCCACAGTGATTCAAATATTTTAAAAATCAACTCATTTGAGAAAGCAAAATTCAGGAGAAGAAATTACACAAACCTTCTGCAGACTACTTTTTGCACAATATTCCTTTGGACAGCTTCCTCACAACAATGCAAAAGATAAGCTAACTAGTTTGCATAGGCTCACACATCATATAAGGGTTGTTGTTGTTGTTAATGTGTTATGGGTCGGTTCCGACCCATAGCGACCCTGTGTAGGGTTTCCAAGTTGCAGCTGGAGAGCTTAATCCGCCAACCTTGCAGTTCAAATGGCTTTGCAGTCTGGTGCATTAACCTACAGCACCACACCACATCATACATATAAGGGCAGTGTGAGGCAATTAGTTGTTCCAAAGTAGATAGCCTTTTCTTTCAGCACTACAAAAACCTCTTTTGTGTCACTAGAAGACCTAAGCAAAATCTAAGCATAAAGTCCATAACTACTAAATAAGTAACAAAAACAAAAACGTGTTCTTGATATATCTTAATTTAGGATTTTTAGGAGGTGGCCTATGTATTATGTAAAATGTTTTGATCTGTGTAACATTTTTTAATATCAAGTTTTAGATAATACACAGTTTTCAATAAAGTATTTAGATATAACTAGGAAATTGCCTATATAAACGCTGGCTAAAGAGAACAAAAGCATGCATACCGAGGGAAGGATTATGGAGAAATAGACTGGTATTAAATGAATTATCTATTGATTTATTTTGATGGAAATTTACTCTGACCTAATGGTTTATGGAGTAAGCAGGAAATTCTATGTTTATTCTTTTATCTGTTTCCTGTAAAAACAATGACATAAAGAATTCTCAGATTACTTCATATCTCTTTGTCTTAAATAAAGAACTCAGAAAATTGTTTAGGGGTTATTTCTCATTTGAGACTTTCTCATCTGACATTTTATTGTGTTTTGGTTTCCTAACTACTTAAAAGAAATAATAGATAAAAATTATAAAAAGAGAGAAGAATTAGACCACTACCGGTCTATAATTGAAACATGAAGGAGCAAGTGTTTAATCCATGTAGGTTTCAGTTTTTGATGCTTATTTCAAAGTTCATTTAAACATTACACGTTTAGTGGTTGGAGTGGTAACAACCTTTTTTTTTTTTTTTTTAATTCTTCCTTCTGTGATTGAATGGTTAGGAATTTATCTTTTTAATACCAACACCAACTTTAGTCATATCCAAAATAACCTTTAAGTTTACTGATCTAAAGTGTCTGATTTCCAAACAAATTGTTCTAGAAACATTCCCAAACAGAAGAATAGGTGGTATGCTCCTACTGGTATTATTTATCCTAATGAAATAGGTTATAATGGTATAAATTTTGCTTCTAATTTTACATCAGCCCTAAAGTAACTTCTCTGAAGTTTCCTGACCCAGTCTAAAATAGTTATAAAAATTTAAACCACATTCTTTGGTATTGTAAAGCAAGAACGTAAACACTTGAATTTCCTCAACATTTTCAGGCCAATTAAAAATATATAGGCTACATACCAATATCTTCTCCAGGCTCTGACAGGCCTCCTGGAAACTTCCACATATTTTTTAACTGCAGAATAAAGTCAGAAAATAAAGTTAATATATCATTCATTCACTAACACATACACTCAATCATTAGCTCACACAGTTACTCACACTCACACAAATGCAGATTCCATAAAATCCATCCATAATTAATTGGTCAAGGTGGTTGAGGTTGTTTTGATCATTGCAAGAAAAAAATTCCCAGCTTTCTTCTGCCCTTTTATTGAGGATCCAGGGGGATGAGGGGTGACTGATGGAATCTTTTCCTACCTTTTTCTTCTGGAACAGAAGTGGTTTCGTTTGGTTAATGGATAATAAATTCTATATGAATATAATAGTGGAGAGAAACATCTACTGAATTTGTATAATTTAAAATTTTTTGCTGCTAGTTAACTAGTTGACAAATAGGAAAATCTTACAGATGCTGCTATAACTAAGTAGAAAATACAGTATAAATTTAATCACTAAAGTATATTGTTTTTAATTTTCACATTTATTTCCTATATTATGTTTCTATCAGATATGTTACTCTTATGATTTCTATTATTCTATGTGTTATTGATTTTATGTAAAAAATGTAGTTGCTATTCATGAGTAGTGTTAAACAAAATAAACTAGTTGGAGTTTGTATCTTCTTGTGTACCATTTATTTATCTTTTTTTGGTGGGGCATGGCAGATGGGAAGATCTGATCTGGGAATGAGGATAAGCATAGAAAAAAATAGATTAAACACAGCTATGAGATACCCTGGAATACTATTCTTAATGCTGGCATGATTATTTTTCTTGCTGGAGTCCTGCTTATTTCTACCCATCACCATGACAAAAACTGAAAAATGACTGAGAAATTATATTCATTAGGAACAGCAACTTTGAGCTAGTATACCTTATAATCTTCATTCATAAAACAAGTGTATGGACCTTTTAATAGTGTACTTTGTGACCCACTCATTTCCTGGATGAGTGCTTCTTAAAAGAATGTGTCATTTCCCAACTACGCTAAGTTGGAGACTAGTGGCACCGTTCCCAGAGTTTCCACAGACTGTTGATTATGTGGGTACAGAATTCAGGCTTTCCACCCTTCTGTGTCTGGTTGAGACTTGAGATTAATTTATAAAGCATATTATGTTTTATTGATGTAGAGCTATCTCTAAGTATATTTCTGTATCATTGCACTGTCTTTTGGGTTTCTTTTTGCAATCGTTCCAGAAGTTTTATTTCTAAAACAAAAATTTTTTAAACTATACAGCCTTGTCTGATACGATGCTGGATGTTACCACCAAAAATTCTATTTCTGATTAAATAATGGAACAGAAAAATGCTTTCAAAAACAAAAAAAGTCAACTTTTAAAATCTTTTCTTAGACTTGACTGTAAATAGATTAAAGTTGGAAATATGAATATATTAGAAGGGAAAAATGGTAGATATACAGACTTAAACACTTCATATAAATTCGATTTTTATGATTTCATAAATTAAACTATATAATTGAAAGATTAAGTATATTTGCATATTGAGTAAATAGCTTGTGACATTATCTGGCATCTCTTAAAGACCATATTTTTAAACACTTTTTTTTTTTCCTCTAAAAGCTTGAGCCTGAAGTTGGTTTTAAGTTATGTGGCTTAAAAATTTTTATTACTATTTGTTGTTGTTGTTGTTAAGTGCTGTCGGGTCGATTCTGACCCATGGTGACCCTGTACAGGGTTTCCAAGGAGCAACTGGTGAACTTGATTACTATAGACATGGTAAACCAAAAGAATTAAACATATCTTCCCTTTTTCCCCCTTAATTAAAAAAAGTCTCAATAACTGGGTAGGGTTAGCAATATAGCAATAATATTAAAATACTAGCTGAAAAAAAAAATTACCAGCTAAGAATCATATACCCAGCAAAACTGTCCCTCAAACATCATGGTGAAATTAGAACATTTCCAAAGGAATTAAAAGAATTTATGAAAAAAACAGACCAACTTTACAAAAATAATAAAGGGAGTTCTTTGTACAGAGAACCAACAACAGCAGGCAACAACCTGAGATTAACACGCACAAAATATCACCCAGAAGTCAAACCAGACACAGAAGTAACCAAAGTTAAAACAAATCTACAAGACTGAAAATAGGGAACCAGAAACAACACTTGGCCAACAAAAATAATCACAAAGTAAAAAGAAGGAATAAGGTAGTTATAGTAGTAGTAGTTGTAGCTAAGTACTTTGGACCCGGTTCTGACTCATAGCAACACTGTATAGGGTTTCTGAGGAGTGAATAGTTGTTTTGAACCACCAACCTTGAGGTTAGCCGTCCAGTGCCACACCAAGACTTCTGTGTAATTATAGAACTTCCAAGTAAAGAGTAAATCAAGTAGCTTTCAAGAAAAAATAAAAAGATACCTAACTGCAACCTTAAAACACCAAGCTCTAATCCTAGCCCTAACCCAATCCCTACCCATTACTTCTAACTATGACCCTAACACTACATGAAGCCCTAGACTTACCTTGTTGCTGTTGTTAAATGCTGTTCAGTTGGTTCCAACTCAGAGCAACCCTATCAAGCATTTCCAAGGCTGTAAATCTTTATGGGATAGAAACCCTCATTTTTCTGCTGAGCAACTGGTGGGTTTGAACTAATGACCTTGTGGTTTCACAGTCCCATGTTTATCCTACAGTGCCACCAGTCTTCATTGGCCTACTCAAGATTTAGCCATAGTCTTAATCCTAACTCGTGATTCCTTTATTATTGTTGCTCCCACAAAAAAGAGGGTAAAAAAAGCATAGCTAATGTATATTGAATGCCTACTATGTTCCAGACAGTTGTGGTTTTTCTAAGACTTACACATGTTTAAACTTTACAGTAATCCTATTACAATAATCCTATTACTATTCTAAGTCTTCTATGAAACCAAGGACATAAAAAAAGGTTTAATAACACAGCTCCTGAATGGTAAACTCAGGATTAAAATCTAGGTAGCCCAATTATGGCTAACTTTAAAAAAAAAAAAAAAATTAAAATGTTGATTTGATATTTGCTCATTAATCCTTAATTACTATTTGCTGCTGTTTCATAAACTTTTTGACCTTTTCCACTGACTTAACTGTAACATTCTATGTAAACCCAACTGGCATCTGTACCTTAAGACTCATTCAGGGCTTGTGAATTTGAATTAAAATCTAGTTTGATGTCAAGTGTCTGTATCTCCCAATTACCCAATGAGTTCCCTATCTAGAATCTTCTAACTGGTTTGAGATTTATTCTGTCTTTCCAGTATATTGTTCCATCAGGAAAATTTTAATGTGGAAGTGTTAAGGGTGGGATTCTGAAAATTTAGTCTTTTTTAGTTCAGTTTTTCTGTTTTCATCTTTGTTTTCCCTTCCTATAAATGAAGACAAAAAAATCTCTGTTTCAAGTGTAAAATTCCATGATCCTTTTTTTTCTTAATCTTTAAAAAAAGGAACTTTCCACTTGCTTCTAAAAGAAATATCCTTAAGTTTTCTAGTGCCTGGCTGCTTGCTGGGTGCTCATCTACATTCCCATATATAACCCTTTCTTGCTTTGAGTTGATGAGGTCTTCTAGGTCCATCAGTAAACCTGATTTTTACATCCTACAAAAGTAAAGCATCTTTTTAACTTATAAAAATGCATGAATTTTAAATCATAATAAGAGTAGTTGCATCATATTTCAGAGTGGTGAATGGGCTGAAATTTTTTTCCTATAGATTTTCCAAGGATAAATCTGACATTATTATGGGGGTGGAAGTAGACTGAATGGAAAATAAAAGCCAGTGTGGATAACACAAGGTTGGTTCCATCTTTGATGATATAGCCCCTCCTTCCTGAGGAATTGATCCAAGAAATAGACATTTTAGATATCAACAAAAGGTAAATATTACTTTTCTAATGCATTTTTCAGATACTAACCATTAATAAGAATGCAAGACATTTTCTCTGCTAAAACAATTTCAATTATAATGGTACTATTTCTTTTGAAACTTGGCCTGAAGACACACTCAAGTTTATTTTAGAGTTTCTAGGATGGGGGCAGGGAGAGAAATGACTCATTTTCTGATCATTTTTCTCACTATTTTCCTACCCCACAGACATCTTCTGTTTTCCAGAGCAGAGGATTAGTTTCAGGGCCCTCCCTGGGTGTGGCCCCTGAAATCCTAACCAGGAGTTTATGTAAGCAGAACCCCCAAAAGACTAGTATTTTCTTTTGGTCATATCCCAAGAACCTTAAACAACGGCACAGAACTTGCTAACCTCTTCCTTTAGATTGCCTACTCCAATTTTATCAGATGTCAGATATTTGGATATTACTTGCACTATTTTCATCTCTAATGCTACTACATTACTACTACCTTTCAGAATTCAGAGCTACAATAGCATCATTACTTCTACTAGTGAAATAGAAGCTCCTGTAGAGTCTTACCAGGCTTTTACATTGTTGTTGCTAAGTGCCATCAAGTGGGCTCTGACTCTTAGTGACTCTGCATAGGGTTTCCAAGGAGCAGATGGTGAGCCTGAACCACCGACTTTGTTATTCAAATCGACCTTGAGGTGCATTATCCTGCAGTTGCACACCAGGACTCTGCCAGTCTCTTATAGGCTTGTTCATTTACTACAAACAACTGGCTAATAAGCACTGAACTACTAACCAGAAGTTAGTAGTTCAGTGCTTATTCTCTCTGTGAGAGAAAGATGAGGATTCTGCTCCCATAAAGATTTACAACCTTGGAAATACTTTACAAGATTGATATGAGTCAGAATTGACTTGACATCTAACAACAAGGTGCTGGGCAAACAGAAAACAATGTGTAATAAGACCAGCTATCTCTTTATCCTGTACTTCACATTCTGCATAGCACTTAGCCCCACCTTACATATTATACATTTGTTTATTTTTGTGTATTACCTATTTGAAAATAAACTCCACATATTGAATTTTTTCTTTGTTCACTGAGTTTAGAATAGATAATACAGCCTAGTAGGTTTGTGTGTTAAGTGCCATGGAGTTGGTTCTAACTCAT